CCTCCTCCTCCTCCTCCTCCTCCTCCTCCTCCTCCTCCTCCTCCTCCCCCTCTCCCTCCCTGCCTCCCTCTCTCCCTCCAGCATTGATGACGTTACCTAGTTTGGGTAATGAAATGTCTGCAAGAAAACCCCCAAGCTCAGAGAGCGCCAAGGACCCCTCGATTCACCGCTGACCTACAAATATTCTCTTTTTAATAATCTCATGACACCGTTGCGGCTTCAACCAGAAAGTTAACATTTCAGGAGGTCAACTATATCATGGGGGCCCAGGCCACGGACCAGTACCGTTCTGTGGCCTGTTAAGAACCAAGCCGCAAAGATGAAAGTGGGCAGCAGGTAAACGAAACCGCGCATGGGAGGGATCTCGGTTGCGCACTCCTGGCCTCTCGCACTCCGTGGGAAAATGGCCTTCCCCACAAACCGGTCCCTGGTGCTGAAAAGTTGGGGGCTGCTAAACTAATAAGATTGGCTTTTTTTGGGGGGGGGAGAATGACAGCCAAGAGGCAGATAATTGGCCCCCAAATCTCTCTTGCCGGAACCTGCCTTTGATTTCATCCCAGCGGCCTTCACCTTCCCCGCTCTTTTCTCGCGGCCCCAGGAGGAAGAAAACTACAGGGAGGATTCGGATGCTCGGCTGAAAGGATCGGAGCCCCAGTCACCACCCCAAGGGACGCGCCACCGATCCCACTACCGCAACCGAGAGCACTTTGCTACCATACGCACAGCTTCACTGGTGAGTGGGTGGACTTGGCCTCTCCCCTTGACCCCCGGGACCCTGCGCGGGCGGGCCCTTCAAACAACCCCCTGGCTGCACATCTGCCGTGTTTCCCCTCAAAATAAGACCGGGTCTCATATTAATTTTTGCTCCAAAAAGACCCATTAGGGCTTATTTTCCGGTTAGGTTTTATTTTCAGGGAAACGGGGTAGTTTTCTAAAAACTAGTGGAAAAGATACTCGGCCTTTAGACCAGAGAACCATCTTCAGTTGAGTTTCTGTAGCAGTGACATCTGTCTGTCTCTTGCCTATCTAAAATCTGCCATCTATATCTGTCTATCTGTCTAGTTCTAAAATCCATCTATCTGTATGTATCTAAAGTCTATTGTCTATCTATATATTTATCTGTCTGTTTCTAAAATTTTATCATTATCTATTTCTAAAATCTGTCTATTTCTAAAATCTGTCTATGTATCTAAAATCTATTGTCTGTCTCTCTACATCCATCCATCCATCCATCCATCCATCCATCCACCTCTCTATCTATCTAATACCTATCTATCCATCCATCTCTGTATCTGTATCATCTATATATTTCATTTCTCTCTGTATCTCTCTGTATCTCTATATCTCTGTATCTCTCTCGCTCTCTCCCGTCTTTATTACAGGCAGTCCTCAACTTACAACCACAGTTAAGCCCAAAATTTACATTCCTAACTGAGAAATTTGTCAAGGGAGTTACACGCCCCGTTTGACAACTCTCCCTGCCAGCTTTGCTAAGTGAACCAGTGCAGTTCGATAAATTAGTAACATGGTCTTTAAGTGAATCTGGCCTCCCCATCGACTTTGCTTGTCAGAAGGTCGCAAAGGGGGATCATGTGAACCCCGAGACCCTGCGACCGTCGTAAATATGAGTCAGTTGCCAAGCATCTGGATTTGGATGACGTGACCACGGCCATCGCTTAACAACCCTCCAAACCACCATTCACCAGAGAGCAACAGAGAGGACAGAGGCGTAGAGGTCTGCAGTGGCCGGGACATTGTTGCCCTCCTTGTCAGGGGCAAGATTCCCAGAGTTTGGGTGGCCAGGATCACAGGTAGTCCTCAACTTACAACAGTTTGTTTGGTGACCGTTCAGAGTTACAAGGGCACCGAATAAAAGTGACCGATGCCTGTTTGTCATGCTTAGCGACACTCGCGGCGTCCCTGTGGTCACATGATCAAAACTTAAGGCATTGGCAACTGACTCGTCTTTACGACGGTTGCAGTGTCCCTGAGATATGGTCCCTTTTTGCGTCCTTCTGACAAGCAGTGTCAACGGGGAAGCCAGATTTGCTTAAGGACTGCACGGTTCATTGAACAACGGCCGTGAATGGCTTAAAATAGCCGCGGCCAAAAAAAAAAATGGTCGTAAAACGGGGCGCAACTCACTTAATTGTCTTGCTTAGCAGTTGAATCTGTTGTAAGTGGAGGCCTATTTTTCCTTGCTCTGCCAGTCCCCCCCAAGAACTTTTGGGGTCCGTTTCCTCATCCGGCCTGGGTTTTGTGCTGAGGCTTTGGTGTCATGCCCCAGTTGGAGTCTGAGGGAGAGATGGAACAGCTGACAGGGAGTGGGAGTGTGGCTCTGGTGGTTGTGGAGGAAACTGGGGAAGGGCACAGGTTGGATGGGCACTCAGAGGAAGACCCAGGCCCACCCCTTCTGGATCCTAGGGCACGCAGGGAGGAACAGATAAGGGAGCAACATGGCTTACGGAGGAGGAAAGGGCCCTGATCTCCTTACATGAGCTGCAGCTGGGAAGACTTGTTTAAAAGGGCAAACTGCGCATGGCAAAGTTGCTTTAAGCAAAGCGTGAAATTATTCTGGTCGGTCAAGTCTTACCTGGGTTCTGGCGTCGGAATTTCTCCCCTTGAAAAACTGTTCTTGTGAGAGTTTTTTCTCCAGCCGATGATAACTGGACATTGGAGGCCAAGATGCAGGAATTAAAGGGACTTTACCTACTTTTGTGACCTGGTTGCTTTTGTCCCACGCCCCTTTGGGTCATCACACTTGGGCAAGGGGAGGGAGAGGGGTCTTCCCAGCCTGAAAATGCCCCCCCCCTTCCCCCCACCCGGGGGGCCTTTTTTTTGGTCCTCGACAGGTAACCAGGCAGATGCAGGAACATGAGCAGGACTCAGAGCTGCGGGAACAGATGTCCGGCTACAAGCGCATGAGGCGGCAGCACCAGAAGCAGCTGATGGCCCTGGAGAACAAGCTGAAGACCGAGATGGATGACCATCGCCTGCGCCTGGACAAGGACCTGGAAACGCAGCGCAACAATTTTGCGGCGGAGATGGAGAAACTCGTCAAGAAGCACCAGGCAGCCATGGAGAAAGAGGTGAGGGCGGTGGTGGGTTCGGACAGCAAGCTTCATTCGTGTGTGCGAAGGGCTCCAATACTGCCCTCTCCAAGGGATCTCAGAGTCTTAGTGGACAACCAGCTAAATAGGAGCCAATGTTGTGCAGCAGCAGCCAAAAAAGCCAATGCAATCCTAAATTGCATTAACAGAGGGTTACAATTGAGATCAAGGGAGGTACTAATACCACTCTATAAAGCCTTAGTAAGGCCACACCTAGAGTCCTGCATCCAGTTTTGGTCACCACATTATAAAAAAAAGATGTTAACAGTTGGAAGGGACCTTGTAGGTCATCTAGTCCAACCCCCTGCCCAAGCGGGAGACCCTACACCATTTCTGACAAATGGCAGTCCAATCTCTTCTTGAGAGTCTTAAGTGATGGCTCTCCCACAACTTCCAAAGGCAACTTCTGTTCCATCGGTTGATTGTTCTCACTATCAGAAAGTTTCTCCTTATTTCCAGGTTGAATCTCTCCTTGGTCAGTTTCCATCCATTATTCCTTGTCCTTCAGGTCCTTTGGATAGCTTGACCCCCTTCCTCCTCTCTGGGGCAGCCCCTCAAATATTGGAAGACCGCTATCATGTCTCCCCTGGTCCTTCTCTTCCCTAGACCAGCCAGGCCCAGTTCCTATAACCGTCCATTGTATGTTTTAGCCTCCCTCTGTTGATGCAACTTAGGATTGCATTGGCTTTTTGGGCTGCTGCTGCACACTGCTGGCTCCTATTTAGTTGGTTGTCCACTAAGACTCCAAGATCCCCTCCCAGTTCCTGCTATTGAGCCTGGTTTTACCCCGTCTATTATAGGTGTCCTTTGGGTTTTTCTTGCCTAGACTCTAGAAAAAGTGCAGAGAAGAGCAACCAGGAGGATGAGGGGACTGGAGGCTCGAACATACAACGAACGGTTGCAGGAACTGGGCCTGGCTGGTCTAGGGAAGAGAAGGACCAGGGGAGACAGGAGAGCATCTTCCAATATTTGAGGGGCTGCCACAGGGAGGAGGAAGGGGTCAACCTATTTTCCAAAGCACCTGAAGGCCAGACAAGGAATAATGAATGGAAACTGAACAAGGAGAGATTCAACCTGGAAATAAGGAGGAATTTTCTTGACAGGGAGAACAATCAACCCAGGGAACAGAAGTTGCCCTCAGAAGTTGTGGGAGCTTCATCCCTGGAGGCTTCCAAGAAGAGACTGGACTTCCCTCAGTCAGAAATGGTGTAGGGTCTCCCACTTGGGCAGGGGGATTGGACTAGATGACCTACAAGGTCCCTTCCAATTCTAATTATCTGTTATCTTTATCAGTGCTATGGAGCTGTCCATTTATTTATTTTTTAGCTCAGCTGAGGTGTGGCAATTCACTGTGCCACGTGAACCAGCTGAGCTAAAAAACAAGAATATAGAAGAGGTAAGAATGGGGGTGAGCGGTTGGGGCCAGCCAGAGGTGGTATTTGCCACTTCTCCAAACCAGTCAAAATTTCTGCTACCAGTACACTAGAACTGGTCCAAACTGGCTGAATACCACCTCTGGGTGAGGGGCACTGGTTGGTGTGAAGGCTTCTTCTCTTCCGGGGCAGAGTGTAGCCACCGCTGACAGTTCTGGTTCACCACGATACAGAAAAGATTTTGAGGCCCTAGAGCAAAGGGTCTCCAAACTTGGCAAGTTTAAGACTGGTGGACTTTCAACTCCCAGAATTCCCGAGCTAACATGACTGGAGGAGGAGGAATTCTGGGAGTTGAAGTCCACCAGCCTTAAACTTGCCACGTTTGAAGACACCCCCCCTGCCCTAGAAAGAGGGCAGAGAAGAACAACAAAGAGGATTAGGGGACTGGAGGTTAAATTCCGTGGGCGCCAGGTATGGGAAAAAAAAGGAGAATATTTTGTAGCTCAGGGTTGAAATAAAGGGTCCTTAAGGCTGAGCTGAGTGGGTTTGTTTTTTTTTTGCAGATGTTCCACAAACCATCATCAGCGCTAGAGGGGAGGGGTTGGTTTTGTGGAGGGGATGAGGAGGGGTCCTAGATGTCCTCTGAGCTTGGTGGTTTTCTTACAGACAGTTCATGACCCAGCTAGGGAACATTATCAGCGTTAGAAAGAGGGAGCGGGGTTTGCGGAGAGGAGGGGAGGAATGGGAGGAAGACGGTGGGGTCCTCGACGTTCTCTGAACTTGGTAGCTTTCACGCAGACGTTTCATAACCCAGCTCGGTAACATCATCATCCAGGACTTCACTAACGACGTTACCTAGTTTCAAACATCCGCAAGAAAACAGCCAAGCTCAGAGACCACCAAGAAGGCTAGGTATGTCTAGCCCGTTGAAGAGGACCAGGGGGGGACACGATAGGAGTCTTCCAGGATTTGAGGGGCTGCCCCAAAGAAGAATTGGGGGTCAAATAATTCTCCAAATCCCCTGAGGGCAGGACAAAAAAATACAATGGATGGAAACTGATCCAGGGGAGACGCAACCTGGGATTAAGGAGAAACTTACTAACAGGGAGGACAATTAACCTGTGGAACTTTTTGCCACCAGAAGTTGTGGGTGCTCCAACACTGGAGTTTTTCAAGAAGAGATCAGACCACCATTTGTCTGGAACGATAAAGGGACTTCTGCTTCCATAGGGAGCTAGACTAGAAGACCTCCTTAAGATTATATGGGAACTGGGTGCAAGAAAGGCAGCTGGGGAGGAGGTGGGGTAGAGGTGTGGCTGGGGTGCTGGTCTGCCTAAGCTGGGTTAGGCCCGGGATGTCCAAGGTGTCGTTGGTCCAGAAAGACTCAGCCTCTTTGTTAAGGTAATTCCCCGTTAGGAGAATGAGCGCATACAGGGAGACGTATTTGAGAGGAGTGTTGGAATAATACACAGACAGCACACAGATACACTGTACAGTAAATGTTGGTTTTTACTTCCAGAAAGTTTAAGCAAAGTCCAAAATAAGCAGTCCAAAAGTCATTCACAGGTAAATCAGTCAGTTTTTTCAACCCAGGGATAATCCAAATATCAAAGTCCAGTGTCAAAAAACAGTTCAGTAACAGACTTACATCAAATCCAGTAATATCAGTCAATTAGAAGAAATGGAGGAACAGCAATACTTTCCAACAGAAGGAAACGGAGACTTACTCACACTCTCTTCTGAGACTCAGACTAAGACAACTCAGGTTTCTGGCTCCCTCTTATGGCTGTTTGAGAAACCACACCTAATTACAGTTTTGCATTTTCTTAAAGTTACAGTTTTAAAATGTTTATCCTGGTTTATGTATTTCTAACCCAAATACCTGTTTAGGTGAGTTATATTCCTAACATTCTTGCTCTCCTCTCCTGATATGGCGCAGGCGAAAGTGATGGCCAACGAGGAGAAGAAGTTTCAGCAGCACATCCAGACGCAACAGAAGAAAGAGCTGAACAGCTTTTTGGAATCCCAGAAGAGAGAGTACAAACTCCGCAAAGAGCAGCTGAAAGAGGTAACGGGGAAGAGCTGTGGGGGAGAGAAGTTTCATTCATTCATTCCTTGTCAGGCCCCCAAACCACGCAGTGCTTCCAAGCTTCACACCTGTAGACAGACTCTTGCCGGAGTGAAGTCGACTGCCTGCCTTTGCAGAACAGCCTGGGAACTGTTAGGGAGGCGCCGTCTTCGGCCTCTTTCTCTCTGCTGCGTTTTGCCAGCATCAGGTGAGGACGGCTGAGGTCTCGGAGAGCGAGGACTCAGATGAGGGGCCCGCGTGGGATGCAGGGATGGGGCCAGGACCATCAGGGAGTGGAGTGCTGCCTTCGGAGGTTGTGGAGGCTGGCAGCAGTGAAGAAGAGGCCCCCAAGGAGCCTGTGCGTATGCACACAGGGCTGCTCGAAGGAAAGAGCAACTGCAGCAGCACGGGCAACTCTGGAGTAAGGCTGCAAGGTAGTGGCCCCTCCCTTAAAGGGATAAAAGCCAGCTGAGAATCGGGAGTTCTTTGCAGGAAGCAAAGTCGTTTTTGCACTCGAGCCTTGCGGACGTTCGGATTCTCTTAGTTTGCGTTTGGAGACTTTTTTTGTGTTTGAAATAGTTCTTGGCAACTTTATCCGGTGTTCTTGGCAGCCTTGCACCACCTTGACAAGTCTCGTCCTTATCAGAGACCATGAGTTCGAAACAGCCTTTGAACCGGGAAGGAACGGAATTCGTAAAGAATCATGAAAAGGTTTTGCTGTTACCTCGGTTTGGTGTTGGTTTCCTTGGAACCAGGTTTGGGTCAGAACTTTCTCACGCACGATAATCCTCCTCCTTTGTAAAGGCAGATTGTAGCCTTCACTCTGGCAAGATTTTGTCTGTAGGTGTGAAGCAATAAAGGCAGCCCCCCCCCTTCCTTCCCTCCCTCCCTTCCCTGGGAATCCAGCTCCTCCCACCCACCTCCCGCGGGGGACTTCAGCTCCCAGAATCCCTCATCCCCCCCCAAAATGCCTGGACTTCAACTCCCAGAACTCCTCGCTCTCCTTTGGATCCCCAGGAACTGAACGAGAACCAGAGCACCCCCAAGAAGGAGAAGCAGGAGTGGCTGTCCAAGCAGAAGGAGAACATCCAGCACTTCCAGGCCGAGGAAGAGGCCAACCTGCTGCGGCGCCAGAGGCAATACCTGGAGCTGGAGTGCCGGCGGTTCAAGAGGAGGATGCTGCTGGCCCGCCATAATCTGGAGCAGGACCTGGTCCGGGAGGTGAGCACGGGGATCCCCCCGCGGAGTGGGTCGTCCTGGGCGCTCTCGGATGCCCTGGAGGTTCCGAACAGAGGAGGCACCATCCTTGACTTAATGCCCGGTCGCTTAGCCCCCCCCCCTCGCTCCAGAGTTACGGCCGGCCTCAAGAGATCTACTTAGTGACTGTTTGAAGCTAGGATGGAGCAGGGTCCTCAGTCCCTCCCTCCTTTCTTTCTTTCTTTCTTTCTTTCTTTCTTTCTTTCTTTCTTTCTTTCTTTCTTTCTTTCTTTCTTCCTTTATTTTCCTTCCTTTTTTCTCCTCCTCTTTTATTCCTTCCTTCTTTCTTTTCTTTTTCCTTTCTTTTCTTTCCCCCTTCTTTCCTTCCTTCTTTCTTTCCTTCCTCTTTCTCTTTTCTTCTTTCCCTTTCTTTCTTTCTTTTTTCTTTCTTTCTTTCGCTTTTCCTTTATTTTCCTTCCTTTTTTCTCCCTCTCTTTTATTCCTTCCTTTTCTTTTTCCTTTATTTTCCTTCCCCCTTCTTTCCTTCCTTCTTTCTTTCCTCCCTCTTTCTTTCCTTCTTTCCCTCCCTTTCTTTCTTTCTTTCTTTCTTTTCTTTTCTTTTCTTTTCTTTTCTTTTTTCTTTCTCTT